ATAATAACAATAATATAGAGATGAAGGGAAAAATACATACCCGTCACCACATTAGGAGTCGCTCGTGCCTCCTCTGCTGTCATCTGAAAAGCTCGAATCCTAGCCACTGGTGTCTCTGCTCGGCCCTGACGACCATTTGTAATCCTCAAAGTAGCAGGGGCAGGTGCAACCACCTTCCCTGCTGCCAGCTAAACTTGGACACTGGGACTTTTTATGTCCCCTCTGATTGCACTGAAAGCAAATCAGATCTGATGCTGCAATAGCGGTAGCAGGAGCCGTACAATCCCTACTCAAATGCCCAGTTCGACCGCACTTGTAGCAGCCCGAACTCCATGCCTTGCACACCCCGTCGGCTCTGATGACTCCTGGATATGTGATATGAAACCTTGGGCTTTTTGCCCGAACTGCCTGTACCCGGAACGCCTCTGGTTTCCTCTTCTTCTCCATCTCAAGGTCAATCTCCCTCTCCCGAGCCCTAGCAATCATGTCATCCAGCGTTTTACAGCTGGACCGGCTCACAAACTGGGGATATCGCTCCGCAGTATCTCATGATAACGGGCTTTCTTCATCTCCTCATCAGCTGCATACTGAGGAACAAGAAGAGCCCTCTCCCTGAACTTTGGCGGTGATCTCCGCCACTATCTCTGTAGTCTGGGTGAGGTCCTGAAACTCCCTGGCTAACTGCTGCACTCGATAACCGGTGCAAACTCCGCCCTGAATCTGGTGGAGAAATCGGTCCATCATGGCATCTAACGCTGCATCATCTCCAATAGTATGTCCGACCCTCCTCCCAATGCCCTGTCCTTCAGGAGACAGGACGCCAATCTAACCTTGTCCCCTCGGGACACCTGCTCGTGCGGAAAGCGTTGGTCACATCTACCAATCATCTCGTACTCGCTATGGGGTCCCGTGCCCCATGGTAGTCTGGAGCTCCACATGCCCTGAACTCCCTAAACGTAAGTGTGCGCGACCCCATCATGGCCGCCATCTCGTCGTCACGAAAAGTGCCCAATCTCTCATCCATCAGCTCTAGAATACCCTCCTTGATCGAATCGAAGATCACATGAGTCTGCTCCAGTATGATGCGGGTAACCTCCGAAGAAAGAAACCTCTGGTTTGCTCATCCATCTGCTCGGCCTCCGGGCCTAATCCTGTCCTGATCCCCCTCCGGCATCTGAACTGCCGACTGTTGGTCTCGAACGCAAAACTACCATTCTGAAACAAATCATAACAACATCAGAAAACTGAAATATCTCAAGGGATCACTGATACCAATACTAGTTTCCTGGTCTTGTCTCAGCCTTCCTTGATTCGAGTATGGATCCTCTGCTTTCAGTAGGATGGGCCCATACTACCTTCCACATCTATCCGTACTTTCCTCAAGAACTGCCTTGACTCCACCAAGTCACTTCTACTATTACTGATCTCTGCTACTCTTATCCTAGGCTTGCCCTAGGGAAACCTCTGACTCTAATCAAACAGTCCTCAGTTGCTGAAGACCTCCTCGTGTCAAATATTAGTCATCACTTGAATACCATCACATCTGATGAGGCTCAGATAATCCTTCGAGTAAAGACTCGTCCCTACCACGGTTAGAATCAAACAAGAGCTGCGCAATAAGGCCAAATCCGACACTATGAGATTATTCAACC